GGTGCAGCTCTATTTGCCCCCAGGTTGCACAGTCCTATTTGCCCCCAGGTGCAGCTCTATTTGCCCCCAGGTTGCACAGTCCTATTTGCCCCCAGGTGCAGCTCTATTTGCCCCGGGTGCAAACCTAACGGAGGGCACCCTTGCAGAGGGCACTCGGTTATCCCGATGCGGGGCCGGGCAGCGGGAGGCAGCCCCCCGCGCGCAGACCCCCACTCACCTCTTGTTGGAGATGAAGTCCAGCGCCTGGTACACCAGGGAATAGAGATACTCCACCTGGGAAGGACGGGCCGGCTCTCAGGGAAGGAGGGAAGAGCAGGGAGCGCGGAGCCGGCGGCACCAAGCGCTGCCTCTCCTTATCTCCGCGCTCTCCTTATCTCCGCGCTCTCCTTATCTCCGCGCCGGGCAGCTGGAGTCCGAGCACCGCTCATCCCTCATCCCGTTATCCCCCTTCCCGCTCCCGCCATTCCCAGCCCAGCTCTACGGAAGCAGCTCTTTGCTCCCAGCCTCAAGACAGCAACCTGCTCCCGCAGCAAGTGCTCCTTTTCCCAGCCTTCCCAATCTCCCCACGAGGGGTGGAATTCCGGAATTCCAGACCCACTCCCATTCACTCCAGTGATGCTTTTTGTGCCCGATCCTCCCAGGCCGAGAGCAGATTCCCGGCGCGGGCTCGGGGCTCCGGCTCGCACCGGTGCCGGTGCCGGGGTCCGCGGGTCTCCCACCTTCTTGCTGTAGACGCAGGCGGAGCCCTGGATCAGCAGCGCGGCCTCGATGAAGTTCATGGTGGTTTTGCCGCCGTCGAAGGAAATGCAGATGTGGTCCAGCTGCAAAACGCGCGCAGGAGGGCAGGGAACGCTGGAAAACGCGTGGAGAAAGGCGGGGAACACCGCACGGCGCGCGAGGTGAGGCGGGGAGCGCTGGAAAGCACGCGGGGGAGAGCGGGGAACGCTGGAAAACGCATGAGGGATGGTAAGGAAAGATGGAAAACGCACAGAGGAAGGCGGGGAACGCTGCACAACGCACGAGGGAAGGCGGGGAATGATGCACAACATATGGAGAAAGGCAGGGAAAGTTGGAAAACATGTGGGGGAAGGCAGGGAATGCTGCACAGTACCCAGAGGAGGGCAGGGAAAGGTGGAAAACACATGGAGGAGGGCAGGGAACGCTGGAAAACGCGTGGAGCGAGGCAGGGAACGCTGGAAAACACATGGAGGAGGGCAGGGAACGCTGGAAAACACATGGAGCAAGGCGGGGAACGCTGGAAAACACATGGAGCAAGGCA